CACTAGCTATTAGGGCACAGAATGTCCTAACTTTTTCCTCAGTAGGCATTGGCATCTTAGTTAATTTCTTTTGTGAAACAAGTGAATTTGTTTCTTGTTTTTTCATCGGTCATGCAATTAAATCACCTTTATCTACAAATATAATTTGAAACAAGATTCAATATTGATATGTTGATATTTCTTAATCAAATACTAAATATTTAATGGGTGTCCTAATTTTTTCACATAACTGTACATGCCCATTGTAGAAGGTTCACCTCATAGAGTACTGAACCCACATGGTATCTTCAGTTCTATATCAGGGCAGGAGCACCTTTCAAAACAGCGTCCTTCCTGAAAATGTAAGGTTCCAGAGCATGCAAAAGCTAGATAGGGCTCAGTGAAAATTCTCACTGTAAGAATGGGAGCAAAAGCAGTAAGATAATGTAGACAGAACACGCCCCCCTCTTCCTGTAGATTCTGCCCTGACAGAACACGCCCCCTCTTCCTGTAGATTCTGCCCTGACAGAACACGCCCTCTCTTCTTGTAGATTCTGCCCTGACAGAATACGCCCCCTCTTCTTGTAGATTCTGCCCTGACAGAACACGCCCCCTCTTCCTGTAGATTCTGCCCTAACAGAACACGCCCCCTTTTCCTGTAGATTCTGCCCTGACAGAACACGCCCTCTCTTCTTGTAGATTCGGCCCTGACAGAACACGCCCTCTCTTCTTGTAGATTCTGCCCTGACAGAACACGCCCCCTCTTCCTGTAGATTCTGCCCTAACAGAATATGCCTCTCTTCCTGTAGATTCTGCTCTGACTGAGCATGTCCACCTCCTTCTGTAGCCTTCTTCACTAGTGAGAGACACAAATGGGTCTGATGGGAACATATTTCTTATTCACAGACTTTGCATAACACATACAATCCATATGGAAGGAGTCAGTTTAATGAGTATCACACTTAGGTCTGCCAGCCCAGCACCCCATCTATCGATTCCTTTTTTCACCAATGAAAAGGTTGCTGCTACATTAATCACCGCCGATCCTGCACTTCAGAAAGGACCCTTCTTGTCTTGCGCAGGGAAAAAATAATCAACACTGCAACACTGAAACAATTTAATAAGTCACTTTGGCACCCCTTAGAATTCTAAAAGTAAGAAAAACTGGCAGAAAGCAGCATACATGTGTCAAAGTCCTCCCTGTCCATACCCAAACCCCCTGGTCTGTAATAATAATAATAATAATAATTATGGGGGTGGCATGGGGTGCAGGTGTTGCCTCACACCTCTGGGACCCAGGTTCGAGTCTCCACTTGGGTCATGTGTGTGGAGTTTGCATGTTCTCCCCGTGTCGTCGTGGGGTTTCCTCCGGGTACTCCGGTTTCCCCCCACAGTCCAAAGACATGGTTGATTGGAGTTCCTAAATTGCCCTTAGGTGTGCATGTGTGAGTGAATGGTGTGTGAGTGTGCCCTGCGATGGGCTGGCCCCCCTGTCCACGGTTGTTCCCTGCCTCGTGCCCGTTGCTTCCGGGATAGGCTCCGTACCCCCCGTGACCCAGTAGGATGAACGGGTTGGAAAATGGATGGATGGATGGATAATAATAATAATAATTATTATTATTATTATAGTCAGAAAGTAGTAAATACTACTATGATAGGATGAGACCTGACATATGGACATTACAGTAGAAATGTTCATCAAGTTAGGATAAAGGAAAATGGGTAGATGAGAAACAGAAAGGAAATGTGCTTGTATCTGTTTAGGAGAAATATCACCAATGTAGAACCGTCTGGTGGAGTGCCTGAGGCTAACTGAATGCATGGTTTGGGTCTTATGGTCTGAGTAGTTATGTGAATTAGCAAAGGTGGGTCTTAGACACATATGCGCAGTGGCCGTAGTGCCCCCGTTTGACCAATCAGCACCAAAGTTGGATGGTCTGCTTGTGGTCCAGTGCTAAATTAGTGGGTCAAATTTTGTGAGGATTGGCTGAAGCATGCCTGAGATTAAGGCACTTGATTGAAATGAGCATGAAAATGGTGCAGGTTGGTTGTGGCTGGTGGCCATACTGTACAGGCAGGTCAAGTTATTTTTATGAATCATCCATAAGGGCAGTGTCCTGATTGACCTGTCACCAGAATGACCTAGGTGGGGTGTACATTGTAGCAGTTATAGGAATATGTCATTTATGGAGTTTTTAAACATCACGAGGGAATGCAAATCACTGTCATTGGACAGTACATATATCTTGATTTGTCATGACTCACAGAACTTGCAGTATAAATGATTTTAACCAGTAATATGTCACTGGAACAGAAATGAGAAAAATGTAAGTTGAACTGATTTTCCAGGTTTATACAGACATGTTATATTGCTGTAGCGCCCCCATTTGACCGATCGGCACAAAATTTGGAGGGCCCTTCCCCAGTACTGTCCTACAGGATATATTCAAGTTTGGTTATGATTGGCTGAGGCAGGCCTGAGATATAGCTGTCTCATTGAAATGGGTGTGGTACCTGTATGGTCTAGGTGTGACTGGTTGCCGTACCTTACAGAAAGTTTAGGATTTTTTAAATAATTATTTATAAGGACTGTCTTCTGACTTAAATGATACCAGACTTATGTAGGTTGAGAGAAAATCCTAGGAGGTTAACGAAAAGTCATGTTTTCAGACCTTTATAAATTATGCAAAAACGCAAAGATGGAGAACCAAGTTCTACATGTTGTTTGATTTGGCATGTCATACTGAATTGGCCTTGATTTGAAATGCACGCTTGATTTTCATTGGCTAATTATGGCCACCATTGTATGACTAATGACTGCCATACTATGTATCTGACCTCAGGCTTGGCCATAGTAGACATATGCCAAATTTCACTTGGATAGGCCAAGCAGTTCAAGAGATATTGGAAGTAGGTATTTGTAGCGCCCCTATTGACTAAATGCAGGCCGCTTTGTATGGTGTCCCCAGAATGGAGCAGGGAGGTAGGATTTTAAGTTTGGTTAAGGTAGGCTAAGGCAGGGAGAAGTTATAGCAGTCAGACTGAAACTGGCCAAATTTGGGTGGAATTTGTGCGTGGCAGATGGCCGTATGATACAGAAATGTCAGACTTTTTTTATAACAATTGATCAGCTCAGAGGACTGATCGGTTTGACACCACATTTGTCTGATTTGGTCAGATACTGTAGGACTTTAAGGCAGAAGTAAGTTTTGTAAATTATGTAAATTAGCAAAAAATCTAAGTAGGCGGAGCGTAATAGTTTCACTCTGAAAGTTGTAGGGAATATCTGCCTGTATCTGTAGAAAAAAGAATTTCGATTGTAGGACTAACAGGACAGGAGATATTGCCCGAAAAGTGACTGACTGACTTGGGTCGGAGGGTCTGAGTGGTGGGTAGGAATTGACATCATCCTACCAAGTTTGGTCGGCCTCGGTCTTACGGTTTAGGCTGCACATTCAGTTTTAGGGCAGAATAATAATAAATACCCCTAAGAAAAACAATAATGTGCTTTGGACCCTTAATTAATAATAACAAGCACTGAGGATAGTGTCTGACCGAGCCCATGTATGTGTGAGACACCCTTAAGGGCCACACTGCCCATGGGGAGTGTCCAGATGCTCACCCCAGCCCCCAGGAGACCCTCTTCTTATTGTGTCCGGTAACCCCATCGTTTAGGGATGCTGTGACCTAATCCACGCACAGCCGCAGCCGCCGTGCCGCTCCCTAAGGTGAAGGTGACAGCAAAGTTATCATGTTCTCCTTTCACCAGTGCAGATGGGGCAGATGATCCCAGGGCAGCATCATGAACACATCAGCGTGTTTTTAGTGAAGAGAGCTACAAGAGCCGAACTCCATACCTCACACGGCTGATGGGACACAGCAATGAAGCTTCAGCCTAGAATGGTCTGAGTCTAGGTGTTGCTGTTGGTGTTGCTGTCTGTGTTGCTGTAGGTGTTGTTGTTGGTGTTGTTGCTGTCTGTGCTGCTGTTGGTGTTGTTGCTGCCTGTGTTGCTGTCAGTGCTGCTATTGGTGTTGCTGTCTGTATTGCTGTCGGTGTTGCTGTTGGTGTTGCTGGGTATGTGCATCTAGGGGAAACAGAAGCTGTGTGTGTGCTGTCTGCTGATTTGCAGAGCTCTGAAAGCAGACCTAGAGTGGCATGCCATCTTGTTCCTCAGAAGCCTGCACGAAGTCCACAGATCCTGTGCTTTTCTCTACATCATTGAGAAGGTCTGTGTGGAGTGTGAAGAGGGGGCGTGGGGGACACCACAGCAGGGAAGTACAAGCAGTCTGTTCAAACCCAAACGATTTAGCTCCCTTCTTCCAGCCCGATCACCCAGGTAGGTTGGCCTTGTAGGGGGATGGAAACATTGAGCCATCATGTATTAATGTCCAAGCCATAAAAACCTCCAGCACGGTGATGTGGCCCAGGATGGTGGTCATCTGAGCTACGCTTAACTGCTGGGTATAATGGAAGGATGGCAGAGCAGCCAGTCAAAGAGGAACATAGTATCAAAGCCACACCATGGATGCCCAATCAGGCATCTCTGATAGACATTGCTGTCCAAAGGGGCGGTCAGACACTGGCCACATGGTGGCACGCTGTCCCTCAGTAATGTGTGGATCTTGCATGCCTGCTAAATACAGCCTCCGCTGCTACGCCCTCCAAAGCACCCGGAGCTGCTGCTTAAACCTTGGGCGAACGATGCGATTTGCGGCTTTGCTCCTCAAATAAAGCCGCAGTCAGCGCACCTGTTTGCACATCAGATCACTTGCTTCAGAGAGGTGTCTGACAGCGATCGGAAGGCCTGTCTGTTCTTACCGACACTTCAAAATCGACCCATCCCATACATACAGCTCATAATATGTCGCAGATGCTCTTTCCGTGAGCTCACACAAAGCCTGTGACAGTCTGCTGGTTTGGGAGCGTTTTTTCTGGATGATGGGATTGAGGTGCCTGTTGTTGTACACAGTGTCTCAAGCTTAGCCTGGGGGTAATCCCCCCCCGATCTGAATAATGGCACCATAGTAACAGGCTGCAGTCTGCTCTGCTCTTAATCCCAATTTAATTTGCACATATTTGCTTGATTGGCTTAGCATGCTGATTGAGGTCACTGTGATGTGGGTGTTGGAGATGGAGTGCATCTGTTGTGTCCTGATGGGCCCACTCAAGTTATCGGCTCCACCCATGTCCCTATGCTCCGCCCATGTCCCTATGCTCCGCCCATGTCCTGAGGGCTCCACCCATGTCCTGGGGCTACTATAAAAGTCGTGGCTGGCATGAGAAGGGCTCTGAGATCGCAGTCAATCACCCAGATCAGCCTGCAGTTCTCCCTTATGAAAAGCTCCACCCCCCAGTGTGAGCATCACAGAAAGCTGGCTCACTCGTCCTGTTCACACTTCATCTCCGCCTGTAGGTATTCTGTGAGGTTTGAATGCTTGCTGGTGAAAATATCCTGGGCAGAAAGCCCATCGCATTGTTCTCAGCAGAGATCTACAGGCAAGAACCCAATATTTGGCAGCTACTGAGACTCGCACACTTACAGGTGTGAATACAGGCTGGAATACAAACCTTTAAAGATTGTCCTCCTAATATTCAGTTCAATGAGGCTTTGTGGTTAAATGAAATAATTATACTGCTTATGCTCTGCAAAAAAAAAATCTTTTCTGCAAAATATTCACAACGTTCCGGTTCTGGAGCCCAGACATTAGTGCTGCACAGCGTACAGTGACCTGCTGTATGCAGGATACGAACGGTCAGGAAGGCACACAGATGGGAATCCTCGGGATGGCCGTATTAAAGACGCGTAATGTTCCAGTGCTCCAAAAGTAGGTTAGGGTGAAGCTGCAGCTGGCTGCTGGATATGCCTGTTATTACAGATCTGCAGCATGACCATGGCCGTTGCATGCACAACGCTGGGGGGTGGGGGGCCCACTCAGCACATTCTTCAGAGCTCCTTGCCCACCCCGCTGGAAAGCCATCATTGGATTTACAAGGTCCAAGGGCCTTTGTAGATATCAACCAGGGATCACTGTCAGATGTTAACATCAAGCATCTGACCATGCTGTCTGGGATCTGAAACTGCAGCCGCTATCATGTTCTCTTTATGCTTTATTCTTCAGAAGAAAAACAAATCCTTCTGGTTCTCCCTGGGTCCTATTATCTCCAGAGGGATTCATCAAAATTTGCCCCGAAGCTGTGAGAAAATCATGTGCGTTCGACTCTTTGGAACAGCCGAGAGGTGCAAGATCTAAGCATCCAAGCTGAAGTTTCCCAGCGTCCACCACCAGCAGCAGATCCAAGCCCTCAGTGCTGAGGCCACTGGCCCCATCTGCTTTGCCATTTATGCAGCTATTTCATGCATTTCTGTAGCTTACTATCCATCCTGCCTCTCCACCTCATAACCATGCTGGTTTGACTGTCTTGTTTACTGTGACTGGACCAAAAGAGAGACCCCACAGCACAGGCTGCAGCTACAGGACAGAACCTTCTATGGGAGCCTGCAGTGCTCAGGTTGCCTCTGAGGGCTCCTCTTTCACAGCCACTTACGTCAGCGCTAGCAAAGCTCTTTGGTAATCACTGCCACTTTGGGACCCAGACCATTTCTCTGGGGGCTGCGTCTGCTGCTAATGGCACAAAGTCACTGAAATGGCTGTAGTGTAACACAGGGAGTACGGCCTGTGTGATCAAGGAGCCACTGTGGCTAGAGCACTGTCCTGTGACACAGGCGAGGTGATACACCCAGTTATGCCAGTAATAACCCCTTCCCTGCCTCAGCCTGACATTAGAGGCCGAATGATTCCTTAGAGATGAACTCTGAGCATTAATGTTTCTATGTGGGCTTGCAAATGCTGTGCACTTACTCCCTCTGGCCGAGGCTGTGTACTGACTCTCATTGGCAAGGGCAGTCCACTGACTCTCTGACAAAGGCTGTGTACTGACTCTGGCAGAGGCTGTGCACTGATTCTCTTTGACAAAGGCTATTTACCAACTCTCACTGCTGAAGGCTGCACACTGACTCTCATTGGCAAAAGCAGTGCACTGACTCTCTGACAAAGGCTGCGTACTGACTCTCTTTGGCGGAGGCTGCACACTGACTCTCATTGGCTAAGGCAGTGCACTGACTCTGACTCTGTGCACTGACTCTGCAAAGGCTGTGTACTGACTCCTATTGGCAAAGGCAGTACACTGACTATCTCTGGCAGAGGGACAGATTGTCTCCCATACTCAATGTCCAGCCTTGGCGCGCTAGACTCCCTCGATGACCTTCACAGGGAAATGGGGCTGGTCTGGGACCTTGGTGGCCATTAATAATGTTTGGTGTCTAAATGAGCCGAAGTCTAATCACTGCTATATTGACTGACTTTCCTCTCAAAGTGAAAAGCATCCCAAAGGGGGCGCTCTTACAGCCCTCACCACATTCCTCTCTGGGTGGCATGACTGATATGAAGCAGGATTTGATCTCCTCAGTAGAAGGAAGCGTAACTTCACCTCTGGGAGGCTGCAGAAACTGCTGCACGCGTTGGGGCTTCAGGAGTCACAACTCGCTCCTTGAACGCTCCAGTCTTAAATCAAAGGCTTTGTCCGTGTCAATTCCTCTACACTCGTGACTCAGAAACAACAGAGGCCACCTTTGGTCTTTCTGCAGGTTAGAAGACCAGGAGAAGCAGGAAAACAGCTGAAAATAGCATGTGAGACTGATCGGGATCTGACAAGCATGTCAGACGGGTGGATCATCCCTGCAGGGCATGGAAGTATGACTGTCCTCATAGTGATCTACTGGCTTCTTCAAAGTGATCTACTAGAACCCTGCCAATACCTGCTGCCCTTATAGCAATCTAATAAACCCATGACATTGACATTATATACCCATCTTAGTGATCCACTGCCACCACTGTGTGGACTTTGAGCTGATTTAGAGACATGCTGCTGAATGACAAGCTGTCAGGGTCAGCACCTGTTTGTTCCAGTCTTTTCGTGTTTTCTCCCCCGTTTGGCCAGCAGGTGTTGCTGGCCATCCTGTCCTCTCCGTTGTCAGTCTTTAGTGTGTTTCCTCTGCTCCCCAGATGACCACATAGCTTAATGAGCTGAGCATGCAGCTATCTATAATCCTCTCAGTCATGTGTTAAAATCCTGCATCTGCTGTTGTCGATTGTTGTAGATTTTGTTCTCTGGTGTTTCATTTGTATCAGTTTTTCTAGTTCCTGTGTTTTGTGATTTGTATTCAGTTTTAGTTTCATGCTTTGTGCCCGTGGTTTTGTTTTACCTGTCTGTTATTCCCCTAGTGTTAGATTCTGTTTCCTAGTTTGAGTTTCATGATTTTAGTTTTATTATTTTCACCTGTTGCCTGTTTCACCAGCCCTTGTTAATTGTTTTCACCTGTCCTACATTACTCTTGTTAGCCTTTTGTATTTAAGTTCCTGATCCTTTTCTGTTCCTGCTGGAATCATTGTTATTGATGGTGTTCTTGGTGTGGTTTTGCTAGTTTTGATTCCCTGCCTGTTCCGTGTGTAATTAGTTTCCCTTTGTACATTATTTTGTTCTGTTAGTTACTCTGTACCCCTTTTTAGTTCTGACCCCTCGCGGTCTGTTTTGTTTTGTAGTGTTTCCTAGTGTTTTCTGTTCCATTAATAAACCCCTGTTGTGTTCCTGCAGCCGTCGGTGGGTCATCCACCTTCCTGTCTGCCTGCACCACGCCCCGTCCTTGTGCAAGAAACTCCTGAGTCGATGACACAAGCAAAAAACTGCTCTGGGAGAAAATTCTGGAAGACACAGGTGAACCAACTTCTCAGACACTTAGCTCTACTTGGAAAGCTTAATGTGAACCAAAACTCAAAGCTGGGGGGATAATTACTGCCTCTAATGCAGAACAAACTCCAGCCTCACCCCCTTGAGCCCCAAGTCTGGAGGCCCAAACCCACAGACCCCCCCCACATTGGCTGCCCCTAACGAGCCTCCGATATCTCCAAGAAGGGGCAGGATCCTGTTCACAGCCAAAATACCACCAACACTCTCCCCAGCAGGAAGGAGGACCCCAGCAAAAGACTTCAAACAGGCAAACAGACGTTCATTATCTTCTGCCAGTCTGCACACGGGAGAGTGCCACGAATGCAATTAAAATATCTGAAGAGGGAAAATGAGTAGCTGGCCGGGCGGCGACCTGTAACACGTCCCGCTCGGGGAAAGATGAGGCATCGCCAATCATTATTTTTATCGCTTTGCAAAAATGCATTTTATAAGCAATTCATAACAAGGTCCTTTGAGGCTGGAAGCAGCAAATGAAGACTTCCTGCGAAAGGTCGATCAAATCAAGTCTGCCTATTAGTCTCTGTTAAAAGGTGCCAAATGAAGTAAATGATGATTAATTGGATGGGAAGCAATGTTAGATATTTCAGCGCTTTACAGAGGTGAGCCTACAGTTTTGAGATGTTCCCCATCTGAATCCAAAATCAACCATTAAAATTCAGCCCAGGATCAAAGATCCAGGCCCGAAATTTCAGGACACACTGTAGCCAGAGCTGACCAGCCAGGAGCATCACAAATGTGTTCCAGCTTACAAATTAAGAGGACTGGCTGGTTTTCATTTTGAATTCATTAGCCAGGATCGAGAGAGACTTTGCATGCATGGAGTCCCCGAATCGAAATGCAGAGCGACTTCCTGGCTGCAGAGCCCGTGCAGCATGCTAATGCAGTGGGAGAAACTCAGCCAGTGAAAAAGCGGGAGCACTGCCCAGATACACGGCCATGCTCATGACAGTTCCGGAAGAACAGGACAAAGGCAGAGCTCAGCCACTGCTTGCTCAGAAGCTCAGCTTAGTGTAGAAGGCCTGGGTCTCAGCGAAGAGGCCATGTGGAGCAGAACAGTGGGATGGGCTTCCATGAGAGTTAGGAAGCCTGAAAGTGGGTCCCTACGCTGGCCGTAGAACAGCCTTTGGGCCTGTTTGTAGACCACATCCCTGGGATGAAAAGAAAGGCACATCCACACCACTGCAAACGTCGGGCCTCGGCGGATCCATCGCCTGCACTGAGATCTCTATAAGGGATCCTGTTCAGAGCAGAGCAGCTGATAGTGTTACCCGGAAACACAGCACTATCACATTCTGTTTGATGGCAAACAAACCTAAAGTCACATGCGGCTGAATTTTCAATCAGCTCTATAAAGCTTCATGTCTGAATCAGTAGCAGCTCACCAAACTCTTAAATAAGCCACACTCACGACACTCTCTAGTCTCTACCTCTTTTTTTACAGTGTACTGAATACATTTAGGGCGCTTTTCCACTGCACAAAGTACAGTACTTTCGCTTTTCCATTGACTTCAGGTCGAGTACCAGTAAC